CGAAATTCGTGCACTGAGTGGAGGGGGTGCCTCTCAGCCCAGCCTGCACCCTCTCCAATATGGGACCCCTCCAGGGATGTCCGACTGCCCACAGGGATCGGGCCTAAACCGGCAGTCAGACATCCCTCTCACAATTCGGGACTGCTGGCTCCCAACTGCTCACCTGCCTGCCTGCCTGATCACCCTAACCACTTATGCCTGCCAGCCTGATCACCCCCTAACCATGCCCCTGCCAACCTGATCGACGCTTAACTGCTCCCCTGCCGGTCTGATCACCCCTAATTGCCCTCACCTGTAGGCCTGGTTGCCCCCAACTGCCCTCCCCTGCCGGCCCAGTCCCCCCAATCTGACCTTCCCTGTCGGCCCAGCCTCCCCTAACTACTCTGCTCTGCCGGCCTGGTTGCCTCTAAGTGCCCTCGCCTGCTGGCCTGGTCACCCACAAAAGCCCTCCCTGCTGGCCATCTTGTGGCTGTGCGCTCTGCCATCTTTGAGGGCGTGGCAGCCAATTAGCATATTCACTCCTTATTGGCTGTGGGCGCAGCCGTTTTTGAAATGGTGTGAGGGTCAATTAGCATATTCCCTCTTTATTAGATAGGACTAGTGGCCCAGTGCAAGGATTTGTGCACATTGAAAGGAAATTATTTAGAAAAAAGATTCATGCGGTAATTATGTTACTATAAAAAATTACATCAAAATAGTATCTACACTAATAAAAGACAAACATGCAAATTGGCCGTACCTTCACTACACCTTTAGCCATGCCCACCAGCCAATCAGAGTGACTATATGCAAATTAACCCAACCAAGATGGTGGCCGGCAGCCACGGAACTGAAGCAAGGAGGCTTGGTTGTTCCAGTGATGCAGGAAGCCAAGCTTCCCGCCTGCCACAGCCGGATCTGAGCTCCACTCAAGGCTACAAAGTTTCAATTATAGAAGGTAAATAAATCCCAGAATAAATAAAAATAAAGGAAAAAAGGAGAGGCTGGGAGCTTCTGTCACCAGGGGGTTTGGCCAGCCTGAAAATGGCCCTTAGCCCCTCACCCAGACTGGCCAGGCACCCCAGTGGGGACCCCCGACCCTAAAGGGGTGTAGCCAGCCTGAAAACAGCCATCAGCCCCTCACCCAGGCTGGTCAAACCTCCATGGGGTGAGGGTTCCCACTCGGGAGGGCTTGACCAGCCTGCAAGCAGCCATTAGTCCCCACCCAGGCTGGCCAGGCACCCCAGCGGGACCCCCACCCTGATCCGGGACACCCTTCAGGGCAAACTAGCCGGCCATCACCCGTGCACCAGGCCTCTATCCTATATAATAAAAGGGTAATGTGCAAATTGACCCTAACAGCAGAACGACTGGGAATGACTGGTCTCTATGACACACACTGACCACCAGGGGGCAGATGCTCAATGCTGTCCCTTGGTGGTCAGTGCACTCCCACAGGGGGAGCTCTGTTCAGCCACAAGCCAGGCTGACCGCTGCCAGCACAGCGGTGGTGGTGGGAGCCTCTCCCGCCTCCTCAGCAGCGCTAAGGATGTCCGACTGCAGCTTAGGTCTGCTCTCTGTTGGCAAGTGGACATCCCCCGAGGGCTGCCAGGCTGCCAGAAGGATCTGACTGCCAGCTTGGGCCGGATCCCCCAAGGAGCAGGCCTAAGCCAGCAAGTGGACATCCTTCGAGGGGTTCCAGACTGCAAGAGTGCATAGGCCGGGCTGAGGGACCCCCCGCCCCCAAGTACACAAATTTTTGTGCATCGGGCCTCTCTTTCTCTCTCTCTATATATATATAAATAAATAATTAAAACATGTGTGCGATTGGTGCCAGCGACACCTTTATGTATACCGCGCATGCACAAGTCAACATCTATTTTTAAATTGCCAGTGTGCATCATGAGTACCAGCCAGTCGGTCAGACAGTTGGACAGACATACGGTTGGTCACTTAGCCTTTTATATATAGGTTATAGAAAGAGATCATTATTTAACCAAGGCAATCATATGTTCACAAAAAAATCATCCATGATTACCCAACATACAAATGTCACATACCTTTGGAATATAGGTCACAGAAAACAATCCAGATGCATCACAGAGATAAAAAGAATATAAATTATAAAAAAAAGGCTAAACAGAGAAGTAAAAAAGTCTAACATCTATTCAACTAGAGTCCCAGAGGAGAGAGAATTAAGCAGAGACGATATATTAAAAGATAATGTCTGAGAATTTTCTAATGTAATAGAAAACATTATAGATTCAAGCCTAATAAATCTCAAACAAGATAAATTTAAAAGAATTAACACCAAAACACAAACTGCAGAAAACCAACAAGAAAATCTTAAAAGCAACCAGAGAAAGAGATCACTTTCCAGTAGCAATAGATTTTAACACAAATATATAATAATTACATATAAAGGACAAAATGCTTCAGATAAAACACAAAGACTGTCATACTGTATTTTTTTAAAGGTGACTTTGATACTATTTTTACGAGATAGAAAAAACGAAAGGATACAAAAGACTGCAAGTAAAACAATGGAAAAAGATATAGTATATAAACATACAGTAAAATTATTCCAAACTAATATTATCACTATAATAAGTACCCAAAAAAGGAAAAAATAGTATTTGGATAGATGGCTAGGCAGGAGGATGGGGTGATAGAAGAGGCAATGATTAAAATGAAGGTCTCTGCCATTATAAACTGATGAACAAAAATAGATACAGAGGCAGAGCAGCATCGAACAGACTGTCAAACTACAGCGGGAAGGCTTGGGAGGGTTGGGGGCGGGAGGGAGGGGTAAGAGATCAACCAAAGGACTTGTATGCATGCATATAAGCATAACAAATGGACACAAGACACTGGGGGGTAGGAGAGGCCGGGGGAATGTCAAGGGGGAAAAAAAAGGAGACATAAAATGTGATTCACTAGGAAAAAAAAAATATTTTCTTAATTCTCTAATATCAGAAGTATTTGCATTTTGAATAGAATTTTAAAATAAAGTCTCATGAAAATAATAAAAAAATAAAATAAAATAAAATAAAATAAAATGAAGGTCTTTGAAAATTCGCAAGTTTAGACTTGGTGGTAAAGGAAGTATAATACCACTAGAGGCCCGGTGCTTTTTTGCACTGGTGGGATCTGTTGGCCTGGCCTGCAGGGATTGGCCAAAACCATCTCTCTGACATCCCCCGAGGGGTCCCGGATTGCAAGGGTGCAGACCAGGCCGAGGGACCCCACTGGTGCATCATTGGGGTCGAGGAGGGCTCCAGGGCGTGTCCAGCCTGTCTAGCCCAGTCCCAATCAGCTGGACCCCAGCAGCAAGCTAACCTACCGGTCAGAATGTCTGCCCTCTGATGGTCAGTGTGCGTCATAGCGACTGGTTGAACAGTCGAACACTTAGCATCTTAGGCTTTTATTTTATAGGATTAAAACATCTTAACATCATTATACTACCTTCATCAGAAGAGCAACATAGCTAAAGTAGAATTAAATAAAAGGAATATTACAGTGTTATATAGTATGACCTGGAATTTTTCATGCTTTTGTTTGTGGAAGGGAGAGAAAAGGAAGACATCAGAAGATGTGTAGGAGTCTATGATAAGGTAAGGGCCTGATAAGGTAAAGGGGATCTAGGAGGCATTTTCAAGAGGAAGACCTATCTACATCAGTTTTCTTTCTTTGAAATTTTAAAGGCAAAAAAAATGTACTATGCTTTATAAAAAACAAACAAAAAAAACCCCAAACTTTTTGTTTTCCACCCTTATAACTGTTCTGTATTATGATACAGTTGCCCATTAAACCAACCTAATAACATACAGGTTAGTAATCCAGCGATTTTCAACCTTTTTCATCTCATGGCTCACATAAATTACTAAAATTCTACAGCACAACAAATAACATGTTTTTTGCAGACCTGATAAAAAGAAGGTATAATATTGATTTAGAAAATAATAATAATAGTAATTACCTATACTTTTTGTTCCAAAGTGACTTTAAATAAAAATCAGGTTCCTGTACTTATATACACAGATTGAGGATATTAACCAATCAGATACAACACTATTATGTGACATGACCAATAAGATGCAACTCTATTATATGACCTATGTATTTATGATTTAAGACTGTGCATTCACACCAGATGGCTATTGTTATTTTTGCTATTGTCATTTTTCATTTGACAATCTAAGGGAAAAGAGGTAAATTCCGACTAAATAGTGCATGGTTGAAAATCGATGCAGTAAAAAATTCTTTGTAAAAATAAAATATCGATGAACTAATTAGCCAAATTAGATACAACATACACAATCCATAATTATATTACAAGAGGCCTGATGCACGAAACTCGTGCAAGCGGCTCGGCACCTGTCACTGCAGCTTCGTTGGAAGGATGTCCGGTCTAATTGGCATATTACACTTTTATTATTATAAATTACTAGAGGCCCAGTGCACGAATTCGTGAAATAGTGAGTCCAGCCAGCCCACCCCAATTGGGGCTGATCAGGCTGGACCTGCCGGGGGAGGGACTGTGGGCAGCTGGCCAGCCAGCCCCGCTCCCTGGTTGAATTCCCGGTGGCGGAGACAATTTGCATATTACCCTTTTATTATATAGGAGGATGACTTCTTCACTATTAATATCACTTATGTAAGATAATAATCTGATAGCTTTTTCCTCTTTGAATGCTTATGTACATAATATGAAATTCTCTGATTTAACAGTAAATGAAACACATTTTTAGTTTCAACTTGAAAATGAACTTAACTGCCCTGACCAGTTTGGTTCAGTGGATAGAGCGTTGGCCTGCGGACTCAAGGATCCCGGGTTCGATTCCGTCAAGGGCATGTACCTTGGTTGTCGGCACATCCCCAGTAGGGAGTGTGCAAGAGGCAGCTGATCGATCTTTCTCTCTCATCGATGATTCTAACTCTATCCCTCTCCCTTCCTCTCTGTGAAAAATCAATAAAATATATAAAAAAGAAAAAAAAAAAAGAAAATGAGCTTAACTCACCAATGCTGGGTGGGCTACCATAGTTAATTGGTGACTCAGGTGGTCTTCCACAATGCAATGCAGCCAGAGCAGATCCTTTCCACACAACATGCTTGCAGCCTATTAAACACACATATTTATGGTTACAAAGATAGGGCACAAAGCCAAACAATAAGAAAAGAATGTCTAAATGCTATTAGAAATTTTTCATACTTTTGTTTGTGCGTAGTAAGGACTGTCTTCCAGCTCCTAATAAAGTTTGTACTCCAGGAACACTTTGTGGAATTTCTTGTTCAAGAAGAGGTCCTAATCGATGACATATTTGCAGCAAGTGATCAGGTGCTAAATGTCTGTAATACTTCACCTATTATATAAAAGACATGTAATATTTGCTAAATAAAGTGATATAATTCTTTATACCAAATAAATACTCTTTAAAAAATACAATAATTTGTTCTGGCTAGTCAACATTTCATTTTATTTGGGAGAATAGTTCATGTTTATGCTGTGAAATCACTTGACTCACAGAACAGAACAGCTACCCAACCATCATTTAAACCACAGAGGAGGAAAAATACAAAAGAATTAATGTAACCTAAATATACCAAGTTATAAATTAACAGATGCTAGTCAATGCAAATACTGAACGATGAAAAAAATATACAGCATTATAATCTAAATGGAATGTCTTAGTTTAACATTTTAATTTTCAAAAAAGTCAAACTACAAAATAAAATGTTTTATATCCTTGATATTATAAAGAGTATCTCCAGAATAATTCAAGATTAAATAAACTTGATTGTTCATGTTTTCATTACAAAATTTTAAAGACTTAGAGAGCATCTATGCTGAGTTTTATGATTTACCTAGAACCTAACATAAAGGCCAAATTCCAACTATTAACTGAAACATATTTTGACTTGTATAAAAAAAAAAAACCTACCTACTAGAAAGTTTGAGAATTTCTGGAACAACTTGAAAACACTGCTTAATTTATGCTACCATTTGAAAACACGTTATGAAATGCTAATTTACTTATCCTACAGTATTTTCAGTAGACAATATTTGCATATTAATCTAAAGAGAGTTAGAGAAAATAAAGTATGCTATTTTATCACTTTATATTTAGAGGTTATCAAGTTACTAACAATTTCTCATTGTAGTACCTAAATAATAATACTCTCTAGTTCAGCTGTTTTCAAAGTGTATTCAGAAAATCTCTGGGAGTTCCTCAGGCAAAAATTACAAATAATAAGACACTATTTACTTTTCACTCTCATTTTTTTCATGAGTATTTGTTGTTTTCCAGAGGCCACATGACATGTGATGTTACAACAGAATGAATACAGAAGTATATATAAGAATCTGTCTCGCCGAAACCGGTTTGGCTCAGTGGATAGAGCGTCGGCCTGCGGACTGAGGGGTCCCAGGTTCGATTCCGGTCAAGGGCATGTACCTTGGTTGCGGGCACATCCCCAGTGGGGAGTGTGCAGGGGGCAGCTGGTCGATGTTTCTCTCTCATCGATGTTTCTAACTCTCTATCTCTCTCCTTTCCTCTCTGTAAAAACTCAATAAAATATATTTAAAAAAAAAAAAAAAAAGAATCTGTCTCTATTAAGCTAGACCAATAAATGTTCTAAAAAAATGTAAAACAACTCATCATGTAAAAATGACATTATTCTCACAAATTTGTTTTGGAAAATAATTATTTTATTTTTTTTTATTTTTTTTATTTTTTTAATATATTTTTTATTGATCTTTTACAGAGAGGAAGGGAGAGAGATAGAGAGTTAGAAACATTCATGAGAGAGAAACATCGATCAGCTGCCTCCCAGGTACATGCCCTTGACCGGAATCGAACCTGGGACCTCTCAGTCCACAGGCCGACGCTCTATCCACTGAGCCAAACCGGTTTTGGCAATTATTTTATTTTAAAAGTTAATTATAGTAATGTGGGGGAAGGTCAATGGGGAAAAAAGGAGACATATGTACTACTATTTGTAATACTTTAAACAATAAAAAAAAAAGAATGTTGATGTATGGCCTTTTGCTTTTTTCATTCTTCTCTGTTTACCTTGCATTTTTACATTATGTTATAATCATTCACATATGTCATATATTTATACATATGTAACTTTTATATAACATATACAAATTTTCTATCCTGTCTTTTCTCCATAAAATATTTGTCATTCTCATGTTAGTATATGCTTTATAAATAAAATTAAATGACTGCATATTAAAAAAATAAAGTTAATTATAGTACTGTGAAATAAATTTAAATAAAACATTTTAAAATTTCTATTTTTAAATGATAAATGAGATTATAATCTACATAAACAAAGGAATTTAAACGATTTTTATTCATGTAAGGGGGTTCTGAGGCCAAGAAGTTTGAGAATTTCTACTCAAATTCATTTAGTAATGGCAATTTTAGTATGAACTCCTTATAAAACTTATTTGGAGGAGATGTGTGGGGATTAAATCATTTCATTCCATCTTGTAATAACTGTCACATTCTACTGAAGACCATGATGGTATTTTTAAAAACTTAGCTAGTATTCATCCCTCTAAGCTGAAACTAATTGAGAGGAACTTACTTTACTTTTCCTCATAATACACTCCTGTCATGGAGACTGCATGAAGCCATACCATCACACTGTGATTTAAAATTATACAGTCTGGCATACAATAGATAGTCAATAAGTACTGATAGACTAAATACTTCTGAAAAGAGGTTCTAATACAAATTATACACACTATATCTCTGCTTTTGAGATTCACAAAGCACAATGACATTAAACCCTCTGAAAAATCTTAAGATAAAACTATCTAATTGTGTTTAATGCACAATTTCCCAAACTCATTAGCTATAGTTTCCCTTTTTCCCTAATAGTATCATCTTGACCCCAAAAAATACTTTTTCAAATATCTGCTTCAGTATGATTAGCTAAATAGAAAAAGCATTTAAAAGAAAATACCAAAATAAGAATTTTTAGATATGTTTATACTATTCTCTAATCTTTCCTATTTTGCTTACAATAAAATTTTAAAAAGTATCTAAAATATTTATGTCCCTTCCAGTTCTAAATTTGTATATGATAATTATTCTAATGTGACTTCTTTAAATTGATCAAAATTCCTTGTAAAATTTTACTTTAACAAGAAAGTTGATTACTTCTTAATGTTGATTCTGTGATGATCCTGTATTAGAGTCTTTTTGCAAAATACATTTCAGGTAACAAACCTGAAAATCCTTATTGCAGAATTTCATCTTTTAATAAAATATTATGAATCCACTTTTTCCTGACTAAATATTTTCTTGATGATTACAATTTTTCAAAATCAACTTTCATTTTAGTTACAAGAGATACTTTCAATGCTTAAACTCCTCATGCTTCCTGGCTTTTGAGACTTTATACAAGCTGATCTCTCTGCTTAAAATCTATTCTTTACCCACCCACCTCCACTATCACTCTCTTTCAAGTCTCAGTCAATGCTTTACTGCCTTACCTGACCTGTTATATTACCACTGCCTTCTTTTGTGTTTCCATAGTACATTATATACTCCTTCCCAAATGTTCCTTTATGACCCCATCCCCAACAGTTTGCAATAGTTATATTGTATTAATTTTCCTTAATAATACCCAGACCTCAGTGGGAATCTAATGATAGTTATGTTCCTTTTCCCCAACCCTGAAAAAACCACATATATAGGTACTACCACAATCTTGCCTTGTTTGGGGGGTTCATAAGACCCCTGACACTATACTAAAACTGCCAATTTATGGTCCATGTCCTGCATAAGCATGAAATGAGACCCTGTTTACCTGTCAACCCAGTACTTAAATGCAGTACTTAGACTGAGTGCTTAATAAATTGTTAAAAAAAATGAAGACATGAAAATATGCAGAAGCACTGACTTCTCTTCTATTTAAGCCACTAAACAGTAAGTTCCTTATGGTCTGAGATCCTGGACACCAGCTCTAGAACTCTTCTTCACACTCTATACCAGGGGTGGGCAAACTTTTTGACTTGAGGGCCACAATGGGTTCTTAAACTGGACCGGAGGGCCGGAACAAAAGCATGGATGGAGTGTTTGTGTGAACTAATATAAATTCAAAGTAAACATCATTACATAAAATGGTACGGTCTTTTTTTTTTTAGTTTTATTCATTTCAAATGGGCCGGATCCGGCATGCGGGCCGTAGTTTGCCCACGGCTGCTCTATACTCTCTTCTTGGACAGTCCTTATACATATCACACTTTCTTAGAAGACATCTTTCTTTGAAATCCCAAAGCCTTTTCAACTCATCATGTAAAAATGAACTCTTAAGCCTCATGCCAAAACCCTCCAACACGGCAACACCATATACACAGCCTCAAATCAAGATGTCATTTTTTTTATTTGCCCATTCATTCCTCCTCCCTCATTCCCAATATCCAAGCAGTTTCACCAAATCCAACTGATTTGTCCTTCCCATCCTTAAATGCAGCTCTCTCTCTCCTTCACCACAATAACAGCCCAACCTCAAATCATCTTTGCAATAAACTCCCATCTTTCCAACATCTACTCATGTCCTCTACCTCAATCAAATCTATTCTCTATTTTCCTTTGAATGAATGCTCTTTCAGAAAACATATATCTGGTCAAGTCACCCTTACCTAAAAGAGGCTTTCCTTATTCTTAACAGATTCAAATCCTTAACATTGTCTACAAACCCTGGCACACATTTCTGGTCCATTCCTGGTTCTCTCCTTTACCAGGCACATTCCCAGCAATACACCCTCCAGCTCCACTGTCTATATTTAGACACACCCATCTCCTTTCAGGTTCTTTACCTGCACTCTCTTCAGTCAGGCTTTTCCCAGGTGATGAACTCATTTCCCCACACCCCTCTCACACAACTCTCTATATGCTTTAGATCTTCCCTCCAGTGTAATTTTATTTGTTTTCTTTTACCCTATTCAGTCTGTATATATCTTGGCTGCATACACTCAGTGACTTTTCATTAACTCATGTTATCAGTTTATGATTATACATTTTAAATTCTCAAGTTCACCACAAACTATAAGAGAACAGGGACCATATATGCCCATCTGGTCCCAACTTTGTCACACACAATACATATTTAAAGGAAAAAATTAAAATTATCATTTGCTACTGTCTTTTTCTAAACATTATTCTTCATGAATATTAACCCATGCCACTACTGACCTATGGTCAATATTTAAAAAGTAAAACCAAGAACAAATTTAAAAAGTTAAAATAGCTCATTACGGCTACACATATATAACTTTTAATTTTCAAATTAGTAAAAGCTCTATCTTTAATATTAAGCCTTTTGGGGTTTGAACAAACTA